CTATGAAAAATATCTGAAAACTAACAGTTTTTAAACAAATAATAGATTTATTTTAAATATAATAACACAATATGAGGTTGCCTACAATAAAAAATATAGAGGCATTAAAACAAACAAATATTTTTGAAACAGACAGAAGAAGTTAGAAGCAAAAGTTTTAACTCTGGGTTAGAACTTTGATTAAATGTGAAGGCACTGAGTTTCCTGCCAGCCAATGGAAAAAAGGGGAAAAAATCACCAAGGACTCTCAGTGAGGAGGGGCATGACATAGGGATCAGCAGCAGAGGAGCTGGAGTCAGACACAGCTGGGTCCCGACCCCGGGTCCCCATCACCAGCTGCGTGTCCCCAGGCAAGCAAGTGTCCCTCTGAGCCTCAGGGGCCATGAAGGAAAAACCTGCATCTCTCAAGGCTGACACCGGCAATAAGTGAGATAACATATGCAAAGTACTTAGTATGTGACAGGCACAAAACATGATTGTGGTCTTACTGATAAAGAGTGAAACACAGTAATTCAGAAAGAGACAGGACCTAAGCTCCATCCTGAAGAGGACTGGGCCGTCTTTTCCATAGCGGCATCCACAGCATACAAGCACTAAGTATTGTTGAAAAATGAGGGAAAATAAACTTTCCCCTCGTGTACATTCCAATATACCTGTATCATATATAGTTCTCATGCATGCACACAAACACAGTAGATAATTTCTTCAGTGGTGGTTTAATGGAAGAGTTCTCTATGTGGTGATTTATCACATGCATTTGAATAAAACCTAAAGACAAAGGATTTAACAAAGCCTAGTGAAGAGGTTCAGCAGGAGGCTTAAGCTAATGAGATTTAGGTATATAGATGTCTGGATACTAAGAGACAATTCAGTAAGCTTGGGAATAAATAAGTAATATGCCCCCTGCTATCCAGCAGACCACTCAACATAAAGGCTCTGGAAAGAGCTGAGGGGCTGGTGTCCTGCTGTGGACTCCAGAAGATAAGTGGAGACCAGCCTATGAAAATGGAGGAGTCTGGCAAGCCATGAGGACAGCCACAAATACAGGTTTGCGTCATTTCACAGGTTCTTGGCGGGAATGCACGCTCCAAGAGAGAAGGGGTTTGGGTCTGTTTCATTCATTGTACAACCTGGCAGACCCTGTAGTGCTCCAAGTATCTGGGATGCGGAAAGACACTGTTTGGAGTTTACAGCGAGCCACAAAAGGAGAACCGCAATGCAGGTCCCTAAGGTCCTGGAGCAAGGGCATGCGCACACAGCCAAGAATTAGACACTTGCACGAAACTGGATCAAGGAGTGCCCATCCATGGGCCATAAAATGAGCATGTAGTCAGCAGCAGAGACCCATCAAGTTATCAGGCCAGGTGGGCCCAACAGAAAGCCGCGGTCAGATGGACATGGGCATGTGGGATCAGCACTGGCAGGGCCAGAGGGCACAGGTGAGCTGCAGCAGCAGGCACACCAGACCACCCTGCTGGCCTCTGCCGCACCACAACCTCTCCCAGCTCATGCCCACTGCCACATGGGGGTGGGCCCCTCATGACCAAGTGACAGAGGGGGAAACAGTCAAATGTGGTTCATGGACAGGCCGGCTTGGGAGATGAGTTACAGGTGAAGGACCATGGCTGCACTATGGCTCTACCCGGGGTGACCCTGAAAGCTGGGGATGAGGGGAAACCCCTAGTGGGCACAGCTGGGTGGTGCATTCGGCCATCAACTCTGTGAAAAGAGAAGTGGCCAGAGGCAATAACACGTATGGATTCCCTGGGCATGGCAGGTGACTTGGCTGGTCGTTTAGGGGACTGGGAGGGAGGGGATAAGGAGACCTGAGCCAGAGGCGAGTGGATACAGACAGGAACAAGCATTGAGTGTTTAAGGAGGAAATTAGTGTTAAATGAGGTCATAAGGGTGGGACTTATCCAACAGGACTGGTGTCCAGATAAGAGGAAGAGGCACCAGGAGTGCACGCACACACAGGAAAGGCCATGTGAGGACACGGTGAGGAGGCAGCCATCTGCAAGGCAAAGAGGGAGGCCTCACCAGAAACCAAACCTGCTGGCATCTTCATCTTGAATTTCCGGCATTTAAAACCATGAGAAAATAAGTTTCTGTTGTTTAAGCCACCCAGCCTATGGTGCTTTGTTCTGGCAGCTCTAGGAAACTAAGGCAGGCAGCAATTCATCTTAATTGGAATTGACAAATATTTCAGTTATAGGTCTCTCTGCCTCTTCTGTTAGCCAGCACCACTATTTGAGGGCTTACAGAATGCTCGATTTATTGACTGCGTTCCCAAATAACATCATGTCAGACCAAAAGACCCACTTATAGCAAAGAGGGAGCAGCAGTGGCAAGACCATAGGACACATGGACCTTCACACACACCACAAGACCCAGGAGCTGCCGCCTTGCCAGACCAATGCACAGCCAGGTGAGGGTGCAGGTGAAATATCAGCTTGGAGACAACACCCTGCAAGGATGGCACTCAATGCTCTAGGACACAGTTTAGCCCTAAATCAACAACCATTATGTGAGTGCTGTCTGCACAGGTAGAGCACGGGGGCCTTGAAAATAAGTGACCCTGATTACCCTCCCTCCTGGCAACAACCCTGGGCAACTTGAGCTTCCTGTCCCTGCAACTCTAGGTTTCATGAGAGCATGGCTCACAGGTGGGGACACTTCCACCAGGGAATACAGCAAGAATCCCATTACATTGTAAGTAACAGCTGTTGCCTGGTCACTGTGGGCTTCGTGGTCCAGAAGACTAGCAGGACAGGAGTGGAGCCATGATTCTGGCAGCAGTAATCAACCCCGACCCTCACGAACAAGCAACTACTGGCACAACAAGGGGGCAGGGAAGAATGTGTATGGCATCCAGGATATCCATTGGGCTACCTCCTGGTGCTCCCTTACCCAATTTTCATGGTGAATGGACACATATGGCAGACACAGCCCAAGAAAGGCCTGGGGACCAGAGACTGAGACCCCACAGGGATGACAGTCTGCGGCACTTTACCAAGTAAGCCTTCCAGCCAATGGTGAGGGGACTCCAGGGCGGAAAGCAGAGGAAGGAGAAGATGATTATCAGTGTAGTCTTGAGACCAGGGCCAGACTGTGGATGCTGTAATGCCGCCCAGATCCCCCACCTCCTTCAGGACAGAAGAGCCCAGTCTTCCAGCTGCTAGGAGTGTTGGCACCTGAGGTTCTCAACTGAGGCTCTCTCGGTGGATGGCATGCATCCAGGAGCGCTGATCTGCTCAAGTTCTGCCACCTACCCCCAACGGCTGGCTGTGAGAGGTTTAATGCTTCAGCCCCCTTGCCCCAGTGTGGGACAACTCAGAAGGGCTCTGGAGGCTCCACAGCACTCTGTAAGACGAGCTGAGGCTTCTGTTGTGACTGCAGTTCAACTTCTGCCTCTGTCCAGTCTTGCTTCCTTCACCAGCCCTCCTCCAAAGACGCCGATGCTGACAGTATTCTCTAATAAACTCCACGCATAACAATCTTCCTGGGGAAGCCAACCTGAGAAACGCAGCTTCTCTGGTGTGCTCATGAGCACAGATCCACAGCCCTCTAATGGGGAATCTATTCCCGTGTATTCCCAAGGTACCTCAGATAACACCTTTCCCCCACGTCTGCTCTTCTGATATTGGTGAGATAGAACTACCATCCACCTATCCTGTTATCTAAGCCAGAAACTTCAGAGTCATGTCCTGCTTCTTTCCCTCCCTCGCAAGCTCTGTTCCTTCTACCTGGAAAATATTTATACTCACCACTCTCAGTTTCCTGACACTGATCATTCTTAGTTCTCATACTTTTCCTTCCTCCCTCAGTTTCCCTGCAGGACTCACCTCCTGCTAAATACAGCGCTTCATCTATAGTCTATGTTCATCTTGGATGTAGTCCTTCTCCTACAGAACTCATCTAGTTCCCTGTCTCCAGCTCACATCCCTGCACAGGTGATCCCATCACCTACACCTCCAGCTTCCATCTCTCTGAGAGAGATGCCTGTCCTGTCCTCTATCTTTAAATATATACCATACATCATCATGATATGTGCTGGAGTCACCTCAAATTCAAACACATCTTTAGGAAACAACTTTTGCTTCTTTCTCTTGTAGACTCCACCCCATTCCTCCCACCTCAGATATAAACTCCTGGACCTGTATCTCCAATGGGACACTAAGTACTTCAGACTGGATTCCACTTCTCCAAACCACCGTGAGACCTGCGTACCTAACTCTCGCACCCAATGCCGGTAGGAGACAGGGAGATGGCAAGAGAGAATAGTGTCAACTCCTACTACCCCAGAGTGTAAAGAAGGTGGATGCAAGAAATGAAGAGCCCAATGTTCTAGATCACAGAAGTGTCCAAGAAAGATTGGGCCTGATGTTTTAGCCTGACACATAGTAACTCTCTTTCTCTTGCCTCCCTTGAAAGACACGTGTAGTATCAGATTGTCTGGATACAACAGTATCTGTAGATAAATGTGCAATGGTTCCTGATTATTGATAACAAGGTTAAGAAAACACAGTATTTATTTGATTTACTCTTTGGTTGTTCCTTTGAAAATTTTCTTACCTTTGTATTGTCTTCATCTGAACTAAGGAAAATCAAGAAGTTTTACATTTGTTCTTCATTCCACAGCACACAATTAGCATTTTAACAGGAAGACACTGTGGCTTTTACAAGATTATAAAAACAGATAAATAGCACATCTTGTTAACTAGGTTGGTGTTTCTCTAAGAAATAATGCTTATCTAATATAAGTGGAACAAGAATGTCCAGCTTGACCAATCTTTCAGCTGCAATTTATTTTTGCAACTTTTAAAAAAACTAAGAATAGCCACTAACAGAGACTTACATTCTATCCGGAAACATGTTAACATCCACATCGTAATACACAAGAATAAAATGTAGTCTCTACCACACACGCAATCAGAGGGGAAAAGTTTACCTGGGCCAATGAGTATTTTTAAATTTTTAGCGATTGTTATCAGCTTTACCTGTGGCTGCCTTTGCTGCCTTCCCTGTGCAAACTGAGAGAACATCAGCTGCCGGTCGAGCAGCTCCATCCTCTGCTGTCTCTGGATGTCCACTGTGGCTCCCATCCCAATTCTGGCTTCACCAGTGGGTTCTGAAGATGAGAAGATGGGTTCCAGTGTCCACGAAAAGAACTTTGCCATCCAGGTGGGGATGCAGAGCACCTGATGAACTTGGAACATTTTGCTATCGTAGCACATACCAGAAATCTAAAAGAAAAAAGTCCAACTGGATTGTTTAAATGTAATACCATTTTAAAGAATACATTTAACACAAAAATCAATAGCCACAAAACATTTCAGAAGGGTTTTTTTTTTTTTTAGTTTTAGTAGTGTTAGATGGTAAGCAAAAATCTCTACCAAATTGCAGAATACGAAGCAGTAAAAATCAAGAAAAAATTGAATATACTCAGTAAACAAATTTTTGCTTTTATTGAATTAGAAGAGCTAGCAAAATAGTGATCATTTAACACTCAAAAGTACTGGTAAAATATTTTCAAAAACATTGTCTTCATCTTGTAAAAAAGCCATAAAAGATCTGATTATCAAAACACTTTCACACTGTACTAACTCTGTGGTTACCCTTATTGGCAGATGGCCATTGGAGAGAGATAATAGCAGAAGATGACTCTGATGTTTAATCTGACCCAATCACATAACAAATTTATCAGAAAAGACAATCTAAAATCTTATTTTTAATTAACATAGTATTTAACCAATTTTTCAAGTATTGATTTTTCTAGATTTTTAAATTCCTCACCAATATTAGTTAGCAATTAACAATTCCATTTATAAACCAATCACCTTTAAGGTCATTTACATGGTAAGAGATGTCTTGAGAGTCTCCATGGTTTTCTAAGTAAAAATGACTATGGCTATTCCTTTGTAAAAAACTTTAATTATGTGAATTTGATTCTTAGGAAGAGAAGTTATTCATACCAAATTAGAGTATATTTGACAACTTTCTATCTAACATGAGAAAAGTACATGCCAATGTTTTATTAATAAAATTTAAATTAATTAATTAGGCAAGAATTTCTTGAGAATCTGCTACACACCAGGCACTGTTCTAGGCACTTAGAATACAGCAGAGAACAAGTTAAACAAGGCCCCACTCTTACAGAGGTCATAGTGGTCAATATGGAGAACAGACAGTAAACAAGTCAACAGGTAAAACAACTTCGGACAAGTTCTGTGAAGGAAATAAAATAAATCTGGAACTCGAGGAGAAAGTTAGGCAGAGATAAGGATTTGGGAGTCACTGGATATTATATGGAATTTAAGGCAATGGGACTAGACAAGATAATATGGGGGTGGGAAGAGAGAACAAGACTAAGGATTGAACCCAGTAGTACACTAGTATTTTGTGGATGGATGGAGTAGGAGATGCCAATAAAGAAATCTGAGAGGGAGCTGCCAGTGAACAGAAGGGAAACTTGGAGAGTTTACTAGCACTGAAGCTAAGAGTAGAGAGTTTTAACATGGGAATGGTCAGCTATGTCTAATGCAGCTAACAGCTCGGTAAGAGAGAACTGACCACTCAATGTGGCAAAGGCATTTGATGAACAAGGCATTTATAAGAACAGTTTTGGTGCAAAAGACAGACTGTACTTAGGCTGAGAGTGAATTGTGTAAGACTTAGTTTCAAATAATTTCCGTGCCCCTTCTCTCAAAATAGAACAAAACAACAAAGAAAACAAAAACAGAAAAATCTCCATGGTCAGTAAAAAGAGAAAGCATCTGTAATCCTGAACCACACTAACAAAATGGAAAGCATATTGAATGATTCTAAATTGCTCAGCATATAAGCAGTGTAAATTCAAATGCCTGCAGAGGGTCGCATGGGACTCTGACAGGTTCAAGGATTAAAGGCATCAAGCAGCATGGAAGGCAGGAGTGAAGCAGAGGGTTACTTAAGTCTGTGTGAAAAGCAGGCGATTCCTCCCATACCCAGCACGGCCACCTATCCACTCTCTCCCATCCACAGCGCACAGGTCCGAGCTCTGCTGGGCATGCACCAAGGAGGGTCCACGTGGGTGGGGAAGGCACAGAGGGAAGGCCCCTGGCTCTGCACAGGGCAATCCACACAGATTAGGGCCATGAGCGTATGTCTTATGGGGGGTTCCAGAAGAGGACAACAGAGGGAACGTGGGGGAAAGGAGATATTTAGAGACAACAGATGAGAGTTTTTTAGAATTAATAAAGAATATAAATCCTCAGATTGAAAATGCAAGCGTCCTTAAAAGGGTACTAAAATGAAACTGACACCTAGATTCATTGTAGTGAAACAAAAGAAAGAAATCCTTAAAAGCAACCAGAGATAAAACACAGACTGTCAAAAAAGAAAAACAATTAACTAGCAGGTAACAGCAACAAAAACTGCAAGATACTTAGGAATAAATCCAATTAAAAAATGTGTAAGTCCTTGAAAGAGAAAACCAAAAAGGTATAATAAGGGATATTTTTTAGGAAACCAACCTTAGTAAAAATTATAGATAACACATCCATGAATAGGAAGACACAAAATTGTTAAGATACCAATTTTCATCAAATTAATACACAAATTCAATATAATACAAAATAAAATCTTAACAGGGTGTTTCGTTGTAACATAAATGTGAATCCTAAAAATTCATACGGAATATTTAAGGTTTAAATTTTAAAATTATCATGTTGGGAGAAAGAAGCCAGACACAAAAGACTGCAAACATTATTCCTCCATTTCTGTGAATGGATAAATCTAAACCATACACCAAATAGTAAAACAATAAAGCAAAGCACAAAGATGATGACCACACGTGTCAGGAGGGGTCTCAGGAGCAGGAAGGGAGGGAGAGGGAGGGAGAGGGAGGGGGAGAGAGAGAGAGAGAGAGAGAGAGAGAGAGAGAGAGAGAGAGAGGTCGGTCCTGTGGGCTGTGGGGCTGGCCAAGTGTGGTTTGGACCTGTGTGGTGGTTTTATGGGTGTGTTTATAGTGATTTGTACAGCTTCATCACAGTTATGGTTTATGTACATTTTGGTATGTGTTATATATCACAAGAAAAAGAGCTAAAAAATAAAAACATAAAGGATCCAGAATAGCCAAGGTAATTTTAAAGACACAGTGTGCCACAAGTTACCATAAATGAAGTGAAAAGATAAGCGCGAGACTGGTAGAAGGTACTTAGCATTCATGTGGCCAACAAAGGTAGCAATCAGGACATACAAAGAAACCCTGGAAATGTATAAGAAAGACAATCAACCCAATCTAAAAAGCGAAAGAAAAGGAGATTTCAGAAGAGGAAATTGAAATAGCTAAAAAACTGATGAAAAGATGTTTATCCTCATTTGTTTTTAGGGAACTGAAATCTAAAATGAGCAATGCGAAGTACAATAACAATTGGCACAAATTTAAAAATCTGAGCTCATCCAGTTTTGGTGAGGATGAGGGGAACTGAGAACTCTCACACAGTTCTAAGGGAGGGTAAAGTTAACAATCCTTCTGGGAAGCAATTTGGCAATACCTAGAGCTGAAGTATGCGTTCAGGAATATTCAATCACAGAGCTGTACATAGCAGTGAGAAAAGAGAAACAAAGTATCTCCAGTACAGGAACAGCTAAAGAGTGGGTTACTCATACAACAGAATTCATACAACAGAAAGGCCATACAGTTCAAATGAACTCCATGTACATGCATTAATGTATTTAAGGTTGAATGAAAAATATACATGAAAGGTATATGATGTTTTATTCATCTTTTTGCAAAATTTCAAAACACAAAATAATAGTTTATACTATTTATGGACACATCCATCTGTAGTAAGTCATGAAAAATAGCTTCTTCTTTAGTGGGGCTATAGGGAATGGGAATTCTGAGGGGTAGTATTATCCGTAGTAAATTTTTTTTTTTTAACAAAGAGAGCTATATGAAGTAAATATAGCAGTAATGATAAAAAAAAAAAAGGCAATGAACCGGAGGCAAGAAAGTAGAAATCCCTTTTCTGAAGATCTGTTAGGAAGGAAAACAGAAAATGGGGTATATAACAGCATAGTTACACTGATTTAACTAAAGATGGCAAAATGTTATTATAAACAACAAAATATGAAGAATACAGATCAAATTACAGCTGTGAGATTTGAATTAAGTAAAAAAATTAAACATTTTATTTTTTAGTCTTAAAATATCCAGCTGTGATTGTGAATTTGTCCATTTCTCCCATTAGCTCTGTTTTAACTTCATGTATTTGGAAGCTGTTCATGTATGTGGAAGCTGTTCTTAGGCACACATGCATTTCCAATGGACCCTTTCATCACAACAAAGGATCCTGATGCGCTTTCAGCAATGATCGTAAGAGATGTCTATTTTGTCTGATATTAATATGGCCACTTCTGCTTTCTTATGCTGTTTCCATGATATATCTTCTTCATCCTTTTACTTTTAATCTTTTTTGTGTCTTTGTATTTAAAGTGTGTCTTGCAGATAGCTTATAGCAGTTTCTTGCCTTTAAATCAGTCTGACAATCTATGTTTTGACTGGAGTGTTTAGCCATTCACACCTAAATGTATTTGTCTTGATATAGTTGGATTTTGCTATTTGGTTTCTATTTGTTTTATCTGTATTTTTATTCTTTGCTCCTCCTTTCCTATGTTTTTTTGTGTTAATCAAATATTATTTAGTATTTCATTTTAATTCTTTAATTTTTTTAGCTACATTTCATTGCATTTTTTTCCTCAAGTTTGCCCTCAGGATTACAATATGCATTTTTAACTTATCACAACGTGCTTAGAGTTATTACTGAATTACTTCAGGTAAAATATGGGAAGCTTGCAAAAGTATACAGTAAGTCTTCATTTAACATTGTCAATAGGTTCTGGGAAACTGCAAATTTTAGTGAAACAATATATAAGGAATCCAATTTTGTTTTTTTAAATCAACATTATAATGAAAAGACACTGAATGAAATGATGTTATTTGAATGTTATTTTGCTTGAAGTCCTAGTTTCCAAGAACCTATTAACAACATTAGGTGAGGACATACCATAGCTGTATGTAATTTCTCCCCCATCCACTGTGTTACTTCTGTCTTACATACTACACCTATATAACTTATAAACTCAACAATACAGTGTTGGTTTTGATTTTAAAAATCACTTGTTTTTAAAGAATATAATGGAAAGGCAGAGCTTTGCCTGTACTTATTAAGGAGTTCACAATTTAGCAAGGGCTCTTAAT